ATCAGTCCGGGGTATTTCGGACTAGCTAGGCATAAGAAAACAAGAGCCCACGGGGCTCCAAGCAAAGAACAGGCTAGCCAAGAAAAATCTGAGCCAAGGGAGCTCAAAATGGAGGCTAACGGAAGTAGAATGAACCCCCTTAGGGGCATGGGCATGCCAACCTTGTAAGCTGGGGTGTAACGGCCAACAGCCGGCCATGAACCTGGCCACAATCAAGGTCCTGGGGCCTAGAAAGGAGATGCACAACAAATTGACACATGTCACGAAGAAAATAAAAGAAAAAGAAAAGAGAACGGGAAGAAAAATAAGGAGAAATGAAGGAAAATGAGAGAAATGGGTGGAGGAGAGTGTGCCGGTCATTGGGATGGCAGCAGTAGGGACTGCCAGGTCCCAATGATGAGCTCACTCCTCCTAGATTCAAGGAGTGCAGGCCGGATTGCTGAGATATGGCCCCAAGGGCCATATCTCAACAATATCTGAATTAAAAAAATGCAAAATTAAAAGAAAATGTAAAGGGTGAAATTCCGGTTTTCTTTTGGACCATGGATCTGAAATCAGATCTCATGGTGGAGAGAAAAGAGCCGTTTTTTGTGAGCCTGCAAAAAACGGCTAGATCCGGAATGAGGTGGCAGCCAAAAAGAAAAAAAAAACAAAAAGGAGAAAAAGACAAAACAGTGCATTTGGCCCGAAAAAGAGCCAGATGCACCAAAAATTGAAAAATTGGACCTAGGGGCTCAAATTTGAAGCATGGGCTACCATGGGGTAGCTCGAAATAATCCTGGCCTTGGATCTCAGTCAGATCCAAGGCTGAAAATACAGCGCCACATTGAAAAATGGTCCGGCCTACCCAAGGTAGGCCAAACTCAGAAAATAGCTGAAAAAAGACCCTTGTTGGCCTTTTTCTCTAATTGGGGTTGCAGTTTCTTGGTCTAGGCCCTAGTAACAGCATTTTGGAAAAGGGGTAGAGACCTTGAGAGGCCAAGAGGCAGTCCGAGTTGGTACCAACCACTCAGACTGCATGTAAAAGAGGTCCAGGTACCCCCGGAGGAGCCTAGAGGCGAATTTTGGCCAAGGGGGTACCTCGGTTCACCTTGAGGCACTTGGGACGGCCTAAGGGCTGGCCGGACTGCTGTTCCCAGCCTATATAAGTTGGGGATTCAGTCAGCCACATTCATACTTGCATGAGGAGTGCCCATGTTGCCCAAATGAGCCCGGGAGAGCTCTAGAGGCAATTGAAGAGAAGTGAGGGGAACCCCTGCCAGTCCGGAAGCTTGGAGGTGACTATCAGCTAGTGGGAGGAGGCCTTACAAGCTAGTGGTAGTGGAGGGGGCAATCCGCCATAGCTCCCAGGCTACTGGATAGGGAGAAAAGACTGAGAGGGGTTTCATTAGCTCTCCTAGAGGGGAGGACTCCCTAGTCTTAATAGTAGGAGCCGTAGGAACTTGGAGGAGGTGAGAGAAGGAGGAAGGAAGGCTTGAAGGAGGAGGTAGCCATAGCTAAGGAAAGGGAAGCTTCATCAAGAAGGAGGCATCCAAGGGGGTGAG